ACACACACACACACACACACACGACACCCATCACCCGCAAACTGAAGCAACAAGACACAAGCACTCGAGGAGAGCCCTAAATTTACCATGTATTGAGGGCCATCATCACTATCTACAAAGCCCATTAGAAATAGCAAAGGGCGTTCGCACTTGCACATCATCCGGGCCAAAAACATACCTGATAGCGGAAGCCCAACTGAGATTTTTGTTCTCACCTCTGTTCTATTTCTTCATGTTAAAAAACATGTGTCCGATGGAAAATGTGATCGTTTTAGATAGCCTTACCAATACAAGATACCTCTCTTTCTCTCTCTCTCTGATGTGACTCATCATCCAGGCCACGGAGATGCTGCATTGTTCAAACTGTCGCAATGAATCTATCCACGTTCCGACTCATCATGCATTGACCGCACTCATTCCTCGTACACTTTGCTGACTGCAATGTGCCACTATTTGTCACGATGATCCGTCCGATTCCCGTAGTCACATTCAACTTCCACCAGCTGTAACATATTCTACTTCACGACGTGTAACAATCTACAAGCACACACACAGAACTATCTTCCGGCTGGAGATAGTCGAACAGAAACTTGCCACTGATCTACCTGTCCAATACACATAGGCTGAAGTCAATAGAATAACCGTTTCTTTTTCAACACTTGGGTATCTATCTTCTCCTCGTGCGCATATCCCAGGGGCGTGGAATGTGGATGGCTGCCGGTAGGAGATCGGGTGGGAGGACGGAGGGATAGATAGGTGGAACGAAGTGGGACTGGCTGACTGGTAATGCCATAGGGTGCGACGGAATGGGAGGGAGAGTGCGTGTTATTGCGTGCCAAGTGGGCAGAGAAACAACAGAGCCTCGAGGCGTGTATGTGTGTGTGTACATGTGATAAATGTCGTCTTCTTCGTTCGCACATCGTTGTTGTTCTCGTCGTTGTCGTCATAGCCTGCAATCCCCATACTGTCCAGCTGCACGCTTGTAGTCTACAAGATTATTCTATTCCAGTTCCATCCAGTACAACCCCCTAGCCATCTAGCCTCCAAACTGCTGCACATAATGAGACCAAGCGCGCAGTCAGGTAAGGATCAAAGGCGATGGAAACCACAAATTTGTACTAAGCCCACAGGCTAGTTAGGATGTGGGAGCAAGTAGCATTACACCAGCTCCAATATCCACATGTACACACTCACACCCAAAGGCGTTAACGCACATGTTGCTGCTGCTGATGGTGGTGCTGGCGGAGCGACTTTAGAACCATTTCAAGCGCGTGCTAAATGCATCAAGTGCAAACCCCTCATCAACATCATCCTCATGATCATCATCATTAGGGCAAACTGCGCTGGCATTCGAGGCGTGCGTGCCCAGGTAGGTGGAATAGAAGTGGGGGAGAGGCGAGGGCTTTTTTCACGCTCTTTCGCCCAGAGTTTGCTTTTCAGTTGACGCACGTGTGTGTGTGTGTGTGTGGTTGTGTGTGTGAATTTCCGAGGGAGGGAGAGGGCGAGAGTTCAACGGGTTGGAAGAAGCCCGTCAGCGAGTACAGCCACATCTGCACAGACAGATAGTCAATTCGCCAGTTTGGTGTGGTTGGGTAGGGTTGTTAGTCCCTCCCCACTTCACTTCACTAATCGTTCGTTCAGACCAGGACTGGCAATTGTACTTGTCTCATCTATCAACCAAACACCTTGTGACTTGGACACATTCCACTTGTTGTCGCTGTTTTCGTCTCAACCGGTCTCCCACAAATAGTCATGAACTTTGACGATGCGCGCATATCCCAATGTCTATTATCGTGTGTACGCATGTTTGCATGTATCCCTCTGTGTTATGTATGTGTGTATGTCTATGTATAGATATATACGCATGCAAGAATATTAGGTTTTCTTCAACGGGGCAAGTGATCTATCTGTACAGGCACCGAAAATCCGGTAACCTATTCCAGTGACATCCAAACACCAGCATTTCACACATCTGGGAACAGTTAGACGGGCTTTTAGGTGCCTCCTTCGAAAAGGTCGAATAGACGAGTGCACCAGAAAGTGGGTCGGGGGACTGGTTAAAACAAGCGCTCCATGGGTGTGAAAAAGTGGTTAGATGACACACGAGCACGCGAACAGATTTGTGATGGAAGTTTCGAAAATATGCTAACTGATTGTCTTTCGTTGGGACAATTTTCCATTCTTTTCCCAATTAACCGACTGTGAAAATATAACCAGACAAGGGAATTGTTGCGTAACTGGGGTAAGACGTTATTGAAACGAGGAGAAATTCGGTTGAAACGACGAGAGAACTCGACTCAGATAGAATCTCAAGACCCTGAAAATTACAATTTTTTCATCTCAAGTGATCAGAATATGACGGCTGATTAAAATCACCTCGTTACAGACTTTGTTTCAGTCTCAAAAGCGACCGAATAGCTACCCGTTTTATTTGCGAGGAAAACGTGAAATTGCCGAACCTTTGAAAACCGAATACTGACAATAAACAGATTTTTTCACGTTCTCGTCAAAATAACACAAACTGCAATTTGTAAATGAACAGGTTAATATCTTTATGTTCTTAGTGGGCTCATTTGATTATGCCCAGTCACCAGACTCTGTTCGCATTGTTCTCCTCTTTGAACTCAGACTTCCCTAAATAAAAATATCACGTCTCCCAAAATCCAAAACATGTTGATGGTTAAGTAGGTGAAATGTTGGGCGACAATGAATGAGAAGAAACAGCATCAGAAAAGGCATTGTAGCCATCGAGATTCCCAAAATCATTCCTATGAGATTTTCATCCATGTTAACCGAAACACGAGTTAATTTTGAAATCGGGAAACCACAGTGAACAGCTATGTAAGAGACAGTGAGGTTGCGCATGGGGATGAATGTGAGCGATACGCATGTAAATCACGATGCAAAGGATTTGTGATATCGGTGAGATCCGTGGTCGCACTTTTTTTTAGCTGTTTAATGTGAAGACCGTACAAAATAGTCTGATGAAGGAGTCAAAGGGGTTAAGAGCGAAAGAGAGAAGTGACTTTTGACAAGTGAACCATACTGTCGCGTCAGAAAGTAATTTTCTAGCAAACCAGATTAAACAATTAGGGAGCAGTAGAGTAAAACGGATAGGATGAAGTGCTGCATAAACAAAACAATAAAAACAGCCGCCCATTTTTGCTCTATCTATGCACACGCATTTCGAACGACAGTTTTGGAATTTTTCTTTTTACCAAAAAAAACGGAATTTGGTTGAATCAGCACAAATTGGTACTCATTGTGGTAATTACACTGACTCGATAGACGGAACAGAGTTGTTCATTAGTAAATTCACATGCAACTCTCAGTTGCTTGTGCACAGTGGTCTGGGATAGATAGATAGATAGATAGATAGATAGATTTGAAGTGAACATCTTTCAGCATTGATCTTCACGTACAATCCTCAGGTTATTCGATCAATTGTGCACTGATTAACTATCAGCAAAGACCGCAAGTGAACAAACGAAGCGATATCTAATTCCATCTTCTGGAGTGAATTCATACCATGGCAGGTGTTAATCCATCAAACAGTACGAGTACTGTTTCTTCTGCGAACGTAACAAAAGTACTGGCGAAGTTCTTCTATATGCGGTTAGTCAGAGCGGATTTATGAAACAGCGTGATCTATAGCTCTTCGCATTCAAACTCTACTAAAGGTAAGAATGTACAGAATTTTTGGGCACGAGCAAACCTTAGACCTCTCTAAATGTCAGTATGTTTTATTTCAAAACAACCATCCCACAAAATTTAGAGATTTCGTCCTTTTTAGACTATATCTATAGTTTGTTCATCTTCTCGTTCTTTGATATCTCGTAACCGGTTATGCTTCGTTTGAGTCAGGCGATGTGCGAACCTCCTTGATATACAAACCCTCTTCTCATTAGGGAATTTGTCATACAGAGTGAGCGAACTGCATTACAAGACTATAGTTCACCTAAGAACGGACAAGAACTGCCTATCGTAAATAGGAAAGTTTGGTGTCACAATCCTTTCCGGATGTAACGTGTATTCGTTTCCTTATTTACAAATCATAATGCACAGTTCCCTGCCTCTCACTGAGGATTTAATTCAGAAATTACGACAGGCATTTATAAGCCCGTGTGAAATTTACTCAGAAGGTTCCGTCTGCACAAAATAATTTAATGAATTTCAATAATACTTGTCTCGTTGCCAGAGAAGTTCCGTGGTGCAATCTATTCGCTCCAACCTAGATGTTCCTAGATGTACCACTGTCCTGCTGCTTGACAAACCAATTCAGGATAGCGAGAAAGTGTAACTTGGATTTCAGCTGGAAAAAAATCGAGTGGACACCAGTCAGATTCGGAATATCGAGTTACAAGTATTGCTTAATGGAAGTCGGTCAGTTACAGAAATTTAATGGACCACCTTATTACAGAATTTTTCCAACTCGTTACTTGTAGAGAAATCACCGCAAACGAGCTTGTTCCCTACCGTATTTTTTACTGTTTGTACTAAACACGAAGCAAAACAAAAACCAAGTGATTGAATCTTAAAAGACAAACGTAGTTGCAAAGTTTCGGAAAACAATTGTATTGAATAGAAGGGGGGGGATCGATTGCTTTCGACTGACATCCATTAGATCTACGCACACAAAGGACGATTTGGGCATACTAAAGTGAAAAATTGTCGTGCCCTTCTGATGTAAAACAGTCCATACAAACAACAGAACACCAGAAAGTGCAAGTTAGCATTGTAGAATAGGAGAGAAAATATGAAGAAGGTCATACAATAATAAAATCCGAAACGTTTCGCGACATGTGTCAGCGTGAAAACGGAATTCGTTAAAAATAAATCTACAGGGTGCTTGCCGAAAGGTTACTAAAATCAGCAATTAACTGAGGCTACTTATGAGTAGCAAGAACGGAAATGCAAAATAAGATTGCAAAGTAGTAGCACGGAACCAGCTTGAGTCTCCTGCGATTTCCAGAGATGGGAAGATCCGAAATCGCTCTAAAAGATGAAACAAAAATATGACTATCTTACAGGAATAAGAGACAAGGGAAGGATCATTCAGAAATATCCATTTCCTGGTGAGATCTCGAATAGGTGACGTGGGAATACTAGACTTGGTGATAACTCTATAGTCTAGGTAAATAATGCTACGAAATTTGCAGGACAGTAGAAATATTTCTGCCAGGAAACCAGCGCATTACGTTCTTTATAATGACGATGAGGTTTGGTTGTTCTAGCGCTGGAACTTCAATTTATAAGAGCAAACAGAGGATCACGAACTGCACGCTAGCTTGCCTCGTAAGCGCACTCGTCGCATTCTGTTTCGCGGTCATACTATAATGTATATATAATGCAAAGTGATGCACTGAAGACGGGGAGGGGAGGGCAAGCATAAATAGGAATGAGTCCAGCAAAGAGACAAGATGTAGTGTAGGAAATTGCATTTGAGGCAATCGTCATGGCTGCTCCAAACGGACACGACGATAGCTAAAGCCCAGGGTACAATGACTTGGATGCTATAGTAAACACCTCGCGATAACAGTATTGCACCTCCTTAGATTTTTGGATTATAATCTCTCCCACATGCACGGTCATCACAGTTTTTGAGACAAAAAACAAGAGAAAAGACGAGATATGAAGTTTCATCAAATTATTTTGTTTTAACAAAAGTAGATGCACCAATGTTTTTACTGCCATAAAAGTATTGTACCCGTCCCGTGCGCTTTGCCCAGTGAAGCCAGTTTAGTACGATGTACATTACTCCCTAAATCTTAAAACTTCAATAATGACAGCAGAAGAGCTCGAATGTCATCGGCAATATTATTCTACTCTGGAATCACAGATGCCACTATCAGTTAATGTTTTGTGATGTAAATACTTGCTCCGTGGGTTCACCTTTATGGTAAGAATAAACCAGAAGTTTTCTGTTCGTCTCAAACCTGGAAGGAACACAAGTGTTTGGAGACCGCGAAGTAATAGCCAGTATTGAGTTCAATACGGGTTACGAACCGCGTTGGAGAATGGCTTTCACATAATCATTTGATGCCATTCATTGCGTAAAGCGCCACGCCAATCTACGAATGCATGGCTCAGAGTGTCGTAATACACATAGTATACAGCGCCTGTTTGTGCGTTTGCTCGTGAAGACAACCCCACCATACCATCATCACAGCGTTTCGATCGTTAATTTGCCTACTGAAGTACCACTCTTCTTTTCACAGGAGCGTCGGATCCGTCGGAATTAAATTTCTTTTCGTAGTTCAATTCGACAAAATATATGGTTGAATCGACGAACTCAGGATTGTGCGTAAAGGTGAAGTCCGAAGGAAAATCAGTTCAATTCAATCAATATCAATTATCCCACACCACTACTCACAAGTAAGTAACTGTGAGTGAAATGCGGAAAGTTTCATTCGCATTCCAAGTTAAATGAGTTTAAGCGCACAGTAAACGTTTCTCTGGTTGTTGACAGAAGCATACACATCATCATTTTGTATTTTATCCGGAGGTTCGTTTTGAGCCATTGTTGTTTCGTCCGCACCGAAAAATTCAATTCAAGTACCTCTCTCTTGTCTCACATGCATGACTAACGCAGTACTTCATTGAAAGCTTTTTCTGGCCTCTAGTCCGTTTCAAACCGGTCTGTGGTTGTTTCCTCTTCGCACACAATATCCCAGTGGCTCTGAACCGCCTGATCATACCGCCTGACAATGAACCGGATGCTGAGTCATCAAGAGGACGCATCCAATGCACCATAATAAACGATGACTTACTTGAACCCATTTGGATGGCTTTGTTCCTACAAGGCCATTGAGAGTGATGTAAGCATGTGGCCACTATCACTAGGGTGTCACATGACTGTAATTTACACTAATCTGTTTACTACAGATTTATCACTGATGCCAGTTGCCATGCCTAAGTACAGGCGCGGGAGGACTAGCATATCGATTTTTGAACCGATTTAGGTGTGTAAAACCCACGGCGAGTGTGCAGTACTTTTGTCGCAGTGGAAACGGTGCTTTTGATGTATTTTCGTTAAAACGAGATAATTTGACGGAAATTCATCACGGCGTGTAACCGAAATCAAAGAAGTGCCATTCGAAACCAGCGAACCAAACCAGTGATAGAAACAGAAGCGTGGATAAGGGAGTCAACTGCCAACGTCTAACTCAGAGATAAGTGAACAATATGAGTACCGAATCACCCTTCCGTTCGGTTGCGCACTAACTGTATATACTTCACCACAAGTTTCTCATCATTCGTGGTTGTCGCATTATCTCCATTTTTGAATGCAACAAAACAACAGTTTTTTTGGGTGTTATCGCTATGATCAAATAAAAGCTAACTTGAAAAAGTTTTACTTCTCAACTTTTATTAAGAAAATGTGGTCGAAAATGTATCATGCATGGCACGGTGACAAAAGTATCGTCTAACGTGGAGTTCAATTCAAATGAAACAAGGCAGTGTGGCACAGAGTGACTAGGCCGAGGCGGAAACGTGGCAAAATTTCTTGGGTATCCGAGCATGGAGACTTGTGAGAGCATACGCTTGCTCTAGAACCGACTCACGTGATAGAAACCTGACGTAATGAAAGTGCACACGTTTGAATTCGAACCATATCTAGATTAACCGGTCACAGTTACTCCAAAGTTCGAGTAGAAAAAAATGAAAAGCATTCCAGCTGATGGAGACAAGTAGAAGTTTGTTGATGGTCCGAGCGACCTCGTCATCCTCCACAGCGTTCAAGTTGCTGATCCGTGCGTTCGTACACTGGAACGCCGGCTACTGGTGTTATTGGCTCTGAATGATAATGCGCACGAAAGTGCACGATTAATGGTTGTACAAACTGGAACTGATGATGGAGTTCGAATTCCGGCAGGATGGTGCCACAGTTCACAATTCCCATCTGATTTGAATGTGGTTATTGTTCCATGATATTAAAGTGTCGCGGTGTGGATCTGGGTACCGATATCAGTCCAATGAAGAAAATCAGAGGTGTTCAGACCCGAAGACTGCATCACAATTTGAGATAATATGAATTAAAGAATGAGCTAATGGACGTCTGAAATCGGGAGCGGTAGCCTGTCGATTTCGGACCCTCGTGGAGGTGTAACCAAAAGGTGTTTTGAGATTCTGAAACGCAACAGGCGTCCCATGCCGCACTACTGAGCTTCATTTACAGCGAATCCCAGGGGAGGGGCAAGAAACTTCGGGAATGGTGTTGTTCAACATTTTATATCACGTTTTTCATTTAATAAAAGCAAACCGGTAGGCTCTTTACTCGATCATTATAATATAGCCACCAAATAGTCAATTTTTGCATCCGAAAGTAGAAATACTGGGTGAGGGTGGGGGTAATTTTTTTTCACGGGGTACCTAATGGAATGTGTGTGTCTGGGTCATATAGGTCCCGTTAGGCTCCCTGGATGGAGACCTCGGGACGATCGTACCCGATAGTTACAGACACTGAGTGATATAGCTGGGTGTCGTAAACAGTGGTGTTCGTGCATACTGTCAATTTCTTTGCAACAATAGTCCACTCAAATTCTAAATTTTCTCCGTGATTCTACTTTCAACCTTTCCTGTCTTTCTCCTAATGTTCATCCGAATGGTCAGCCAAAAGACAGCAATCAAAACCGGCCCACGATAATGCATGGTTAGTGATTGTACAAACTGAACTGAACTGTATTTGATTAATGCACATGTGTCCGCCCAAACTGTCTTCTCCCTTCCCATTTGACATGATCGCTTATTTCGTTCTCACTTCGTTTCCTTCCTCTCTCTCTGTCTCTCCACACACCGTTAATCGAGCTGCCCATTCCATAAAGCCAGCACAAAAACCAATAAAAGATCATTCACTTAAATTTCAATCGCCCGGTGATTTTTAACATAAAAAACAAAGGCGCAACAACGAGAAAAACCCGACGTAAGTTTACTTCTCATATGAAGTTGATTTGGTTTCACTTATTAACCCAATAGCCACCACCAACAAACGAAGGGTGACGAAACAACTTTGCAGAACTAGGTGATGAAAGTTAACAAACAATCTCCTCAGACGGAAAATTCGCAACAATTAGTCAATCCTGTGGTAATCATGAACGCGATCACTCCCTTACCGGATCACGTGAAACGTTCACAACACGGCTGGAGCACGGTGTCCGGACCTGTTCCGACATTTACATTTACAGAGAATAATTGTGTTCTTGAATGAGAATGAACACTAAAATGCAGTCGGAAAAAGTTGATGTGACAAAACTGATTGGTTGCATCACTGACACCGGTGACAATGCCATAGGGGTTTAGTCCAGATGGAACAAACATACGTGATGCGAATAAACCACACACTAACATAACCGTTGCAACACATTGTAGCCCAGCATGTGATCAGACGACAGACAACCATTTCTGCTAACCCCATTGATTTGATGGTCATGAGGATTAGTGAGAGAGAGAGAGAGACAAACTCCATGTGCTTTGTATACGTATTTGCATATATATATATATATATTTGTATGTATGAGAATAAAAACAAAACAAAAACAAAAAAACGACCAGTGTACATCTCTATAACAAGTGTTTATGTGTGTGTGCGTGCGCGAGCGCACAGGTGTCATTGCACTCATGGGAATAAAACAGGAATTGGATAGACAGACAGACAGGCATACATGTAGAGGTGTGTTTATCACATCTTCAAAGTTCTGTAAGTTGGAAAATAACCAATGACGGACCATGAAATAAAATAACGAAGGGGAAGTATGAATAAGTTAGGGTGTACGCAATCACTTTCCCTTAGTATTGGACAACAAACACAAAACCCAGCTCGTGAGCTGTTTCACAACTCAATCGGCTGCATGATCAGGTTTGTTGAAAAAGCAGCAGACGAAAAAAAGATGAACACAGATCTGGGTGAGTGTTGGAAACGGGAGCAGGTGAATTCGAATGAAGATGGTTCGGCTCGATTCCTATCTGATCTGACATGGCCTGACTCGATTTTCATTGAGGCAGATGAGAAAAACACGATGACCAAAGAATCAGAAGATAAAAGACGAAGAAAGAGAATGAATGGTAGAAGAGAATATGCGAGAGAGAAATGGCACAAACAACATGCTCAAAAGGAAACTACATTTAGGTCAGTAAACGAGAAAAAGAGGGGGGGGGGGAGATAAGAGGCAGACGTGACAGAGACCGATAGCAGCATGGAACATGATCAATAAAAGACTGAAT